GAGCAAGAAGAGGAAGAGCGGGTCGACCACCAGGTGCGCGCTGAATCCTATCGCCAGGGCTCGGGCGATCCTCCTGGGGGAGTTCGCGACGAGGACCGCGTCGTAGATGAAGAGGAACAGGACACCCGCGTTCTCCTAGGGGAAGGGAGAACGCCGCCAGAGGATGGGAGGAGGGAAGGATGATCGACGATCAAGCGGCAGATCCGAGGATCGAGGATGGAGGTATTTAGATGTTGTTTGCCTCTGGGGGGCCTCTGGAGGCCAACAGGGATAGGGAAATTCGGAACAGGGTGGGTTGGGTGGTGCAGGGTAGCTTGGACCTCAAATCGTGCTCTGAGCTCAAATGCCCATGGGGAAACCTCCAGGCCAAGATGTGTGCAACGCAATCCAAGCCAGTCCATCTCCGCCCGGCTCGATCCAGCTCAGTCCGTCGGGCTTGTGCGAATACAGGGTTTCTAAGAAAATTTGATCTTGACGAATACAGGGAGAAGCGAAAACCTTGGTTTACGACCATGCGTTCGTACGAACGTGGGGTGTGTTCGAACACTTGGATCAGTCTGGCTCGGTCCAGCTTAGTCCCGCTGGGCGGTTCTCGGCGCAGTTCAGCCAAAACCAGGATAGCACATCTCAACTCAGCCGATCACAGCCCTGCCGTCTAGCTCAATCAAGAATCAATCGGTCTCAGCCCTCCTCAGTTCAGTTCCCAGCACAACTTAGGACACCAGTCAAGGTCAAGTCCAGCAGCTCAATCCAGCTCTGTCCAGTTCCATCCCTTGCAGCCTGTTACAATCCAGCTCAGCTCGGCCCAGCTTCGCGCAGCATGCCAGCCCACGTATGAAGAGCAGTGCGGCATCGTGGCAAAGCTTTGACTATTGGAAAGCTTGGTCGTTGCCATTCACTCCCGAGTTGCAAGGTTTCTTGATAGGATGTCGCGTGTGGTCATCAAGCCTGAAGTATCGTTGTTGTTATGCCGTGATTTGAAACAAATCCACCAGGCGGGCCTCGAACAAACTCCGTTATCCTGTCAGAAAGAAGAGAGGGGAGGTGGCGAAGGGGACAGCGAGAAGGGGGAGGGGAGGGTGCGAGGTACATGGGGAGAGGCAGACCTGACGTTCCATGCTTCATCTCTCTCGAGGGCTGTATGCACGCAAGCTGAACTCAATCTCGGTGTGTGGATCTTTTGTGCGTGATCTCGCTGGCGTGCTTGCACATGTGCGCACATGCGCGCATGCGCGTACGGCAAGTTCGTGTCGTGACGACCCCGGCGTTGGTTTCTGACACCGCGTGGATCGTTCAACCTTGAACGATCGGCGGTTTTTCGATCGCCCGATCGTTCTACATAGGCCGGCTCTGGGCCACTGGCAGCGTTCAACCTTGAACGCCCGCGGCGGAGTCGCCGCCAGTCGGCACGACGCAAACCTACCGTACGCGGGTGCGCAAAAGCGCATGCGCGTCCGCGACCGTGTCGTGACGGTGTGCGCATGGGCGCGCCAGTGTGGGCGCATGGCAGCCGCCGTAAATGCCTCGCGCCGCTGTGCACGTTGCTGGGCCTACACCCTGCGAAATGCTTAAGAAATCATGGGTTAAGAAATTCATAGTCTCAGAATTTGAATACAAACCCAGAAATTCTATCAAAATCTTGGGATTTACACTGAAACGTTAAGAATAATCGAGACTCTGGCCGAAAACGTGGGTTTTCTTAAGCATCGCCTGGAGTGTACCGCTTCAGGTCCGCCTGTGGCGCCTCCCCTCTTCGAGCTGCATGTCCTCGCTTGCGCCCGCGCCGATCAAGCTGCCTGATTACTGCGGTCTGGTGCCGCGTGCCAACGTCGGCTCTGGTTCCTGACTCCGCACAAGCCCTTCGTGATCTCCGATCTTGAAGGCCCCACAGGCTCTGGACCCTACAATCAACCCGTACAATCAGGACGCACGATGAGGATGCAAGGACCTTGGAAGGCCATGCCGACGCTTTGCGAGCGGGGCGCGGCCAGTAAAAACAGCCAAGGATGGGCCGAAGGGGAAGGATGCAAAGGCAACCTTGGAAAGTTAATCATCCTTACTATTCGACTACACGCAAAGAGTGGCCCTGGGTAAGAGTGACTTTTACTACGCGGCTTTTTGGGGGCCGCGGGGGGGCCAAACACAAGCGCTCAAGCCGCTGCTACCGCTTCGCTTTCAGCCATCTGGGGACCCATCTGGGGACCCATCTGTGCCCGCACTAAAGGTCACTCCGCCGAAGATCACTCTTACGTCTAGTCGAACTATGCGAATTGACTGTATCTTTCGTTTGGACCTGGCTCCGCGAATAGTGCCCTGCGGGCCCCCGTCTTTCTGGGCCCCGGCTTCCGGCAAGACACCTCGGCGCAGGTTGCTTAGGGTTGTGGCGTGTTCCGGCACGCCTTTTCTGAGCGTTTCCCCACACGTTTGCCCAGCACCTCTCCAGAAGCTCTTCCGGAAGCTCCTTCCAGAGGCTTCCAGAGCCTCTTCGAGAGGCCTTTGCACGCCCTTCTGGCGCCCTGCTGTCCGGGCTCTGGACTCCGCAGGTGCCCCTGCGGGCCCCCGCTTCTCTGGGTCCCCGAAGGAGGGCGCTCAAGCCTGGAAACGCGCCGCCCCGTGACCGCGACGGCGCCGCCAACGCGCGGAGGCGACGCGAGCGCACCCTGGGCACGACTCTGGGGCGGTGGCTAACGCATCGCCCGAGGCCCAGCCCAAATCCGATCAGAGTCAATCCTTGTGCCTCTCCTTGAGGCCCACCCCTAGTCCATTTTTCGAGGCCCATCCAGGCACGAGTCCGGGGCGGTGGCTACAGTATCGCCAGAGGTCCAACCCAAATCCGATCAGAATCAGTTCTTGGACCCTTCCAGAGGTCCACCCCTACAGTGGAGGCCAATCCACAAGAACCCTTCCACGATAAACCTAACCGTGAAACCCCAGAACGTTCATGGATTTTTGGTGCGGGAACGTCGCGCCTTCCACAGCAAAACCATCGAAACCCAAGAAACCCAGGGCACCCTGTAGGCAAGCAGGGTGTTTCTTGGCATGGGTCTCCACTGTAACCTATCGCCAGAGGTCCAACTCGAATCCGACCAATCCTTGCACCCCTCCAGGGGTCCACCCCTTGTCCATTTCTCGAACTGCGTCCCGCCGCTCTCTTGCCGCTCTGGCTCTCAGGCCGCTGCCGCTACTGGTTCGCACTGGAACGTGTGCTCGGCCCCTCATGCGCCTGCTCGTGCCGTGCGGCCCTGCCGTTGCTCTTTCCGTCTTCACAAGGTTGCCGCTCGCACGAAAGAGCGCGCGCGTTGAGGAACAGCGCCCAGGCGGTTGCGGCCTATCGTCGTCCCATCCCATTATGCCACCTGCGCGCTGTCCACGACCCTGGCTGGCGCATGGGTAGGGTTCGGGCCTTGATCGTTCCTGCAGTCACTTTTCCCGCTGCCAGTCCCACTCTGGTGGCTTCCACGGCTCCTTCGGATCATCCACAACTGTTGCAACTTTTGCCGTGGTCGGTGTCGTCGGAGGATCCAGCCGTCTGCTCATCTTTCCTGCCGCTTTTCGCCCGCCCCCTCTTCCTCCCAATGCTGTTTCGTGCGGGCCAGCTCGGCCGAACATTTTTTGACCGTGCGGGGCCCCGCTTATGCATTCCCGCGCTTCGCCTTGCTTCTCACCCGCCTGCCAGGTCCATCCCGCGGCGTCCTCTCGGCACGCCGGTGTCGGGGGCGGCGATGGGGACGAACAGCCCAGGGGAGATGAATGCATGTATCCAGCGGCGCCTAAGGTCGACGAGACTCCTGGGCGATCGATTAAGCGTAATACCCGCCCCTGGGCTATTCGCACCTATCGTCGCCTCCGTTGGTCCTCTGTCCTCCACCCGTCTCCCTCCCTGGCTTAGCGTTCTCGTCTTGCCTGCTCCCCGCCATTTTTCCTGCGTCGCCTGGATTCTGCCGCCCAGCGGTCGACCAAGCTCGACTTCCACAAGGGCCGTCGGCGGTGATCTCGCATCCGCAACAGAGGACCATTCGCCTTGGCACCATCCCTGCTTTGAACAGATTGAACCCGCGAGTGCAACCTACCGCCGCGTCGGAGAAACCAGCGTGCGTGCGTGCGTGCGTGCGTGTGCGTGTGCGTGTGCGTGTGCGTGTGCGTGTGCGTGTGCGTGTGCGTGTGCGTGTGCGTGTGCGTGTGCGTGTGCGTGTGCGTGTGCGTGTGCGTGTGCGTGTGCGTGTGAGTGTGCGTGTGCGTGTGCGTGTGCGTGTGCGTGTGCGTGTGCGTGCGTGTGTGCGTGTGCGTGGGCTGCTTGTGCTGTGGTGCGTCGTGCGTCTGCCCGTGTGAGTTGCGCGTGCGCGGTGCGCGTGCGCGTGCGCGGTGCACGCGAGCGCGCGTGCGCGCTGTGCGCGTGCGCGTGCGCGTGCGCGTGCGCGTGCGCGTGCGCGTGCGCGTGCACGTGCGCGTGCGCGTGCCGCTCGTGCGCGCGTGCGTGCGGCGGCGTGCGTGCGTGCGTGCGTGTGCGTGCGTGCGTGAGTGCGTGCGTGCGCTTGCGTGCGTGGGGTGCGTGCGGTGCGTGCGTGCCGTGCGTGCGTGCGTGCGTGTGGTGTGTGTGTGTGTGTGTGTGTGTGTGTGTGGTGTGTGTGTGTGTGTGTGTGTGTGTGTGTGTGTGTGTGGTGTGTGTTGCGTGTGTGTGTGTGTGTGTGTGTGTGTGTGTGTGTGTGTGTGTGTGTGTGTGTGTGTGTGTCTGTGTGTGTGTGTGTTTGTGTGTGTGTGCGTGTGGGCACTAACGCGCGGACGGCCGAAAGCCGATCCAGACGGCCAGCCGAAGGCGTCAACAGAGGCTAGACGCGGGCCTCATCTGAATAGAAAGGCAGGCCACAGGGACCGCCAGACCCTACGCCCCTAGCACAAGCGAACGCATGAGCGCCAAGACCCCATGGCCACCCCACGACCAACGCGAGCAGCAGCCGCCCCCCAGGCCGCAAGCGGCGCCAGCCGCCAGCGGTGCTCCCCGCGGAGCTCTCGCCGCGGCGGCCTGCTCCCCTAGGAATCCTCGCCTCGCGCCGACCTGGCCCCCGAGGGCCCAGCGCCGACTCGGCGGACCGCCAGCGCGGTCCAGCAGCACAGGGAGAAGACCTGCTCCAGCTCGGACTCGCCCGCGCCCTTCCAGAACACCCAGGCAAGGGCGGCGACCCCCGGGGTAGACGCCCATCATAGAGGGCAGAAAATCCACCCCCATAATAATCACCCCGACAAGCGAAGCCGTTTAGTAAACGCGCTCAGGGAAGGAATCGAAGAGGCAGGGCTGATAGTAAACGCCCAAGGCCGTTTGGTAAACGCCGATCGTCGGGGTCTGGGTGGCTCTTCCTCCCTTGACATCACCTCCCCCGCGACTCCCGCCCTGGGGCCCGCGCCACTCCTCACCCGAAGGCCGCCCGGCCACGGCGGCACGGGCAGTGCCTGGCTCTGCCGGCACCGGAGACGGCCTCGCGCCCAGAATTGCAATCTGAGCTCGATTCCGCGCTCTCTCAGGCAGGCGCGCCCAGAATTCCAATCTGAACTCGTTCTTGCGCTCTCCCGAGCGAGCGTGCTCAGAATTGCAATCTGAGCTCGGTTTCGTGCTTTCCCAGAGGGCGCGCCCAGATTGGTGCTCCACGGCGCGCGCGCGCTCCTCCCGTCGCCGCCCACGGCCGGCGCGGCAGCCCCGGGCGCGAGCACGAGCGTGAGACCCGCGCGTGCGCCGCTGGCAGCTCCACCAGCGCTGCTCGAGGCCACCTCCGCCATGAAGGCATGAGGAGGAGGAGGAGGAGGAGGAGGAGGAGGAGGAGGAGGAGGAGGAGGAGGAGGAGGAGGAGGAGGAGGAGGAGGAGGAGGGGGAGGAGGAGGAGGAGGAGGAGGAGGAGGAGGAGGAGGAGGAGGAGGAGGAGGAGGAGGGGGAGGAGGAGAGGAGGGGGGAGGAGGAGGAGGAGGAGGAGGAGGGGAGGAGGAGGAGGAGGGAGGAGGAGGAGGAGGCGGAGGAGGAGGAGGAGGAGGAGGAGGAGGAGGCTGCTCGGGGCAACGGGCCGAACGGGCTCCTCGTCCCTCCTCTGCCCTAGCCCCGCGCCTAGGCTGCGCACGGCGCCGCCGCCGCCTAGCCTGGGGCCTGGATGGCGGGCTCCGGCGGTGCGGCCTCCGCGGGCGGCTCGGAGGGATCCTCGACGTCCATCGCGACGTCCGCCTCGGCAGCGCCGCGACCGCCGCACCCGCGCCGCCGCTGCCTCGGAGGGGGCGCGGCACCAGCACGCGGAGGCGCTGCAGTTCGGCAGCGCAGCGCTGCCACTGAGGCGCGCAGCAGGCCCTCGGCCGAGGGAGTGGCCTGCTGCGTGGCCTCAGGCGGCGTGGGTGGCGAGGAGGGCGCCGCGCGCCGCCTCCTCCGCACAACGCCGCTCCACTGGCTGCGTGAGCGTGCCTGGCCTCGCCGGGTGCGAGCGCGGCCGGAGGCGCGCCGAACGAACGAGGTTGAGCCGGATGTTTATTGTTTTTTGGTGCGGGTGTGGTGTGTGTGTGTGTGGGTGTGCGTGCGCGTGCGCGTGCGCGTGCGCGTGCGCGTGCGTGCGCGTGCGCGTGTGCGCGTGCGTGTGTGCGTGTGCGTGTGCGTGTGCATGTGCGTGTGCGTTTGTATGTGTGCGTGCTTGTGTGCACGCGCGTGCCTTTGCACGCGTTCACATTATTCCGTGGATGAGCTTTCCTGGCTGCGTTATCCTCCACAAGAAACCAAACCCACAACGATTGGTCGACGAGATGCCACTCACCGTCATCCCTCTTCTTCGCCCCCTCCTCACCCCGCTCCTCCTGCTCCTGCCTCCTCGGAGGAAAGACGGCTAAAGCCATCACAACCTGGATCGCCCTCCTCCTCTTTCTCCTCCTCCTCGTCCTCCTCTCTCTCCTCCTCCTCCTCCTCTTCTTTCTCCTCCTCCCCGTCCTGGAGGACGTCCGCGAAACGTAGGCCCTGCCACCGCGTGCCGAGAGACCTGTTCACGATGTCGGGGAACAACCTCCGAGCGAGAGGAAGAAGGAGGAAGACAAGGACAAAGAGGAGGAAAAGGACGAGGAGGAACCCGAGACGGAGGAAGACAAGGAGGAGAAGGAGGCGGAGGAGGAAGAGGATCCTGGAGGAGAAGGTGGACGGGCTCCTCCTCTTCCTCCCCCTCTCCCCTCGTATCCAGGAGGACGAAATCGTTCTTGGCGGAATGGTGTTGCTGAAGCAGTGCCCGTCCGGGAGGTTGAAATCTTATTGAACCTCGCAAGGGCTATTCCCATCCATGGGCAACGGCATCGCGGACGCGCTGGCGAATGCAGGAGCGCATACGGCCCTAAACGTCACTCAACCTCAGCTCAACCGCGTGGCATAATGAGAGCCACTCTTGGGCCGAACACGTATGCGTGCTGCGGCAGTGGTCTGGCGCCTGCCCCCAAGGCTCCTCTGCAGTTGATGCACCAGCGAGGGACAGACAGTAAAACGAGGTGTTGTGTCAAACACCAACCTTCTCCCGAAAGCAAAAAGCTTGCAATACTGGACACGACGCACCACGCGTCTGGGCTGGGGGTTGCAAGTCCGAGTGCGGCGTCCCGCTGAGGCTGAGCCCGACGCTCCTGGCCCACATCGCGATCCACATTGATCGCGCCTGTCTGCTGATGAGTGGACAGCTCTGGCGCCAGCTGTGTGGGAGAAGGTGGCCTGACTTGGTGGCGCGCACAAGGCGGTATGGGGGAGGGGGGAAACTTCTAAGAAGCAACTTCCCCCTGTGACATCGTACATAAGTACAGTTTTTCCGTGTCGTTGTCTTGTGGAGAGGGGGGGGCTGCGCGGGAGGGAGAGCGCACGCGCGCGATTGTCGATCCATCAGTCAGGCGACTCAGCCGAAGGGATCGTACTACCACTGTAGATACTGTAAGCACAGGTCAAAGCAGGTCATTCGACGGACTGTTTCGGAATGGCTCTCCAAACTCTCAGCGAAGGCGCCCCCGCGCATCGGAGTGTATGTACCTCATGGTGGACCGCCGTGGTTTGCATGTTCAAGGTTCGGTTAGGGCCCAGACGCTCCCGAACGCATCTTAAAGGAGGAAAATTCGCAGCCGCTCGAACACGGCGCGGAAGCCCGCGGTGGGGGGCGATGCCGTTTTACTTCGATATCACCTCCATGTACATGCACACATATGGATTTGCTCAGGTACTGGTATACGTAGATGTATGTGTAAATGTAGATGTAGACGTAGATGTACATGTAAATGTAGATGTAGACGTATGTGTAGATGCCCATGCCAATGTAGACGTGTATATGTATATGTATATATATATATGTATACATGCATGGAAATGTAGATGTACATGTATATGTAGATGTGAGTGTAGTTGTAACTGTACATGTAGATGTGGCTGTGGCTGTCTATGAATATGTGTACGCATATGTAGATGTATATGTAGATGTAGATGCGGATGCAGATGCACATGTCGATGTAGATGTATATGTAGATGCATCTGTAGATGCAGGTGTAGATGTAGATGTAGCTGTACTGTAGCTGTAGCTGTACTGTAGCTGTAGCTGTAGCTGTAGCTGTACTGTAGTTGTAGCTGTAGCTGTAGCTTACCTGGCCAAACACGTCTTGGAAATGGGCGACCGTGGCGGTGGCGAGCCGGGGCTCCAGCTCCTCACCTCGAGCCCTCCCTGGGAGACGACGGGGGCGGCGTTGGACAGCCCGGAAGAAACATCGAGCTGGGTGTCGGACTGGGCGTGGGGAGTGGCGTCGGGAAGGGCCCTGGGAGAAGCGCTGGGGACGGCCCAGGGAGAGCGAGGGAGAACAGGACGAAGGAGAAGGCGCACGGACAGACCAGGAGGAGAGACGGGAAAGGGAGGACCGTGCCCACTGATGTGCCCAGTAACGTTTGGAGCACGAATCCCGCGTAAAAGCGATGCGAACAACCAGGGGCCACTCCCGAACACAAGTTCTCATCGCCAGGACGGGTGCCGAAGAGAGTTCCCGAAAATACGGGTCACATCCCAATAGTTGTCACACCCCAATGAGTGGTCACACAAAGATAATTGTCACACAGGAGAGGCCCGCGGGCAACCACAGTGACACTGCCGACACAGTGCTCACACTGTGGCAGCCCTTGCTGGCTTGCGCGAACTGCCGCATGAGAACACAGCCGCCAATTTAAATGTTTGCTGCGCATGTTGGTGCAAGCGTTCCTACCTCGAAAGTGCAACGACAATCGCAATGCCACAGGTGCGCGGTGGCGGCGCTGACGCGGCATCCATTTCGCGGGCATTTGTGGTAGGAGAACTAATGGTCACAGGGGGGTTGTGGATGTGCGCACAGCATGCCTGTGAAAACTCTGGTGGGGCCTACGGTCTTGTTCCCCCATCGGCGACCTGTACTGCCAGATCCAGCCAACAGGAGGAAGAGAAGCAAGGACGAGGATGGAAGAGAAGAGGGAGGAAGAATAATTTGAAATTGCGCAGGCCACGAGCTTCCAGAGCTGGATAACTTCTGGGCGTACTGTCCCATGACGCACCAGGCCCTAAAGGAATCTGACGCCGACCTCCGCGCCCAGGGGGCAATGAACGGCACATTCGATTGGCTGGTCTGCTTCCAACACGCCGCTCCCAAGCTGCAAGTCAGGTGGGGCGAGGCGCGCCTCACAGCCACCAGAGTCAAAGCTCTCGACGCATTCGGGGACGACGACCGCCTGGGCCCTCTGGGGCACCAGCGGGGGGGGGCCGTCGGCTTCCTTCTGCCATGCGAGGAGGGCAGCCCATCCCATGCCCGACAAAGATTTCCTCACCGCCGTGAAACTTCGCCTTCGTTGCCACGTCTGCCGGCCAGGCGTCACGTGCCAGCACCGCTGCGACGACGGCACCATCTGCGGCGCGCCTCTGGACCGTGAATTGCGGGTGGCACGCGAGGCGTTGCGGAGTTGGACAGTCCCGCGCCGCTCGCGAAGACCGCGTGCGGGATTGGCACGCGCAGCTGCGTACCAACCTCACTTGCTTTGCGGCGGCCACGCAGCAACTTGTCCCAGCGATGGAGCGCGTGAGCTGGCGCAGAGGCGTGCTGGAGGCTGCCAGGCTGGACGTCGCCACCACGGGTCTGGCCGCAGGCCGGCCAGTCCACGTTGACTGGAGCTCAACATGCGAATACCCAGAGCAAGACCCTAGCAGGCAAGCCCAATCCAACCACGGCGGCGTTGCCGCAGCAGCTATGAACCGGGAGAGTCGGGCCCGTTGCCCCGCCGCCCAACGGGCGTGACCTTGCCCTTTTGGTTTTCGAGACATTGGGCCGCCCGCCCGACGAAACCGCAAAGTTCATGTGAGCCCGTGGACGTTGCGGGCTGGGGCGAGATGCTTGGCAGGGTGTTATGGCAGCTATCCCGACAGCACCAACGCGGCAGCGTAGAACTGGTGCTTAGAGCTATAGGCAAGTGAGGCCCCTCTACCGCTTCATGGGACAGCTATCAACACCACCACAACTACCACCACCTCAGCATATGGCGCGACAGCCAAGTCCACGACAGCGAAATCGAAAGTGAGCCTGGCAACTCAAATAGCATCCGATTCCATGGGAAGCGGATGGCAAATAGCGTCCGGTATCGTACTGAGGTGGTTCAGTAAGAGGAATGGACGGATAGGATAGGATAGGATCGATGTAATGATCTTTCCAGCACATAGCGAACACAAGCAGTGTCCGGGCAAATAGGGCGCGCGTGCCTTGAGCCAAAGGCAACGGCGCGCGAGCTACAAAGAGCTACCCTTAAAGTCGGGAGGGGAGGAGGCGGAGAGTATAGCCGCGCAGCCGTTAGGCTCTACAAAGGCCGCGCGCACAACTGCTTGCAATAAAGAAAACAGTGTGTACAGTCTGGCCTAACACCAGACTGTAAGGCGAGTTTCCTCGCAAAGCATTTCACGCAAATGCAAGATAGCCCCTTCGGACGATGAAGGGCTATCGGCTCAGCTAGAGGTAAGCCAAACGGGCCATACCTCACCGAGCAAACAGGTATTAAGGCAAAGAGCCTGAATCATATAGAAGCCGGCTCGTTGCCAGGCGTGAAATGTAAGGCTCGTTTCCGAGCAACTAGAAGGGCGCCTCTGTAGTAGGCGCCCATGCTGGCAAATTGGACCGCGGGGGGGCAACAAGGACAGACTAAAATTGATTAGACTTGGGTTTGTTTCTGTCCTCGGGACCCCGAATAGGAACAAACTGCTTCACGTCATACTTGAATGACTGAGTGCCTGACATCACTTCCAAAAGCAGCTCCCGAACGATGCTTCCCTTTGTATGCCCATCTGCGGTCATATCTCTAGTATCACACCACTGCACGTTATGTACTATACCTATATCCATGAGCTCACGTATCCAACTGATATGTCCAAGCAGAGTCCGTTCTGTCGGTATCTTAAGATCCTTGCTTGATAATGATTTATAAACAGACTCAGCGTCTATGGTAAGAGATACTTTAATGGCTAGGCCTCCAACTTCACGCATATCTCGTAGTTGTCGTGGAGTCTGAGCCCCTGCCTTGAGCTCGTGGAGAGTGATGAGCGTAGGGTAACACTCATCGAGGTTATGCGCAGCTGCGAGTGCCTCCGCAGCATAGCTGGACCTCACCTGCAGTCGGTGTGATTTGCATAGTCCGTCACAGAGGTGAACGACGGATTTGCCTTGAGGCGAGTTTCCTCGCCGTAATACATTGGCCCCGCGTATGCCGTAGCCCTTGGTCTCATCATCCTCCTACCCGGTGAGCTTCCGATACCCCGAATCGCTGTGTATGTCAACTTCATTCGTCGGCTTCATCCGAGGGAAGGTGATGCGTTTCGGGCTGCTGATCAGCTTTCGCGTCACAGCATTCAGTCGTCTGACTTGTAGGTTGGTGGGCTCTTGGATTTTCTGGAGAGAGACCACGTATACCATGAGCCAGATTTGAATAAGAAGGGCATAGGCGAGGGCTCCTCGCAAGCTGACGAACATGTCGGTAATGAGTTTCGTGGCTTTGGCA